AAAAAAAAATTATTTAGTACTTTTCGCATGCGTGCTCTATGGGCATTAATTTATGAAAGCGGAAAGTCAGAGCCAGTGTTTTAGCCTAGTCACTTGGAGACCAACATCGGTAACACTATAAAATTCGTGTCAAAAGTCTGGATGCATACACCCTGTTGTTTAAGCGTCTTTGGATACTTGCTGGAAATTCGTTTTTTTCGGTACACTCATTTCCTGTAGCATCTTGCTTATTTTGCCAGTACCGCTCAACTAGTAGTGACAACGACCCATCTACTGAAAACTATCTTTCCAACTTAAATTCTTAAATAACAACTCGTGACGTGCTGCAAAAAGCTTGGGCTTTATAAATTAGCACTTTCTTTCCAGAATTTTAGACTCCTCCCCATCCCATGACTACCGTAACGGAACATATAATGCTCGTGGACAATACAAGTTGAGAGTGTAGACCTCGCTGTTATTTTCATGCCTTCGGCTTTTATACGAGCGATAATTTTCAATACCGGCGATTGGATTTGACTGATATGGCAGAACATCTGGGACAAGAACGGGAGTGACCGGAGCAGCAGCAACTGGAAGATAACCTGCTGCTGCCGAAGGTAGTAGCATTCCATGGGTTGTTGGTGGTACAGTTAGTGCATAGGAATATTGCCTGGAACTGCGTTAAAAAAATTAAACTTTCTTAATAAAAATTTACCATTCAGTTTATGTAAATTATAGTGCTTAATTTTTTAGTTCTATGCATATTTCTTCTTAAAATTGGACATTTTATTTTAAGAAAAATTGTTAATTGTTACTTCCACAGAAGTCCAGATCTCGCTTATGAGCAGGTGACACTTCTAGACTCCTGTGCCACTTCTCATGATTATGCAAATTTGCAATATCAGTGGCAGCATAATATTAGGACATTCGTTGCTGCTCATGGCCTCTGTTTTTCGCATTTATTTTATAACTAGCTGGCGTAAAAATTTGAAATTTCGGCAAGTTTGACCTCATGCTCGATGTTTACCAATGAACTAAACTGCAAATCCGCTGCTGGACTGATAGCTGAGAAAACCTGGTAAAGTCTGTGAAATGCTGAGAATTGCACTGGGCTGTTGTGCCAGTTCCGGCTGGAACGTAGTAGATGCTTCCAGAATCGTCATCCACATCGAGACAGTAGCAGCAGCATTCATCGCATACATCTTGTAACGATGAACAGAATGATGGGATTTGTTCGGTGAGAAATATCATCATACTGCAATTTGTTTTTTATGCATTCATGCGAAAAAGCATCAGCAAGATCAAACCTGTGAAAGCTAGAAAAAGTGATTATGGCAAAAAAAAAAAAACATAAACAGTTACTTGGGCAAAAACAGCAGCAGATGAATGTAAGTAATCAGAGATGTGAGTAGTAATATTTTGAAAACGTGCGTTACTACGGGTAATGCGGCCAACAAAAGTGGTAAATAGGTGAGCACTGGTACGAAACAGGCCATCGTTATCGGCAACAAGCAAGACTAAAAACAATAAATTATGTAAGATTGAGAAATCTATAGGAAACTGCACTGTTTTCGCACCATAAGGTTGAAAGCTCCGTTCTGCTGGTACCAGTTCTACAATTTGTTCATTCTTTTCGATGGTAAATTGGTACTGGGGTATTCCGATAGGTCAAACATGCCATCAAC